TTTACTGATATTCACTTAGATATGTAGAATGATGATATATCTTTTCTACCTTGTTTTACTTGTTCGTTTCGATACTATTCAAAACACTTCTGTTTCTGTTTGTAGAAACAGAAAAAGAAATATTATGAATACTATCGAAACGAAATGATATCACTATAGTTGTGACCTCGAAATGCTAGAGGTTGAAAAGGGCAAAGAAAATTTAAGTTTCATATCTTTCAATATATATATATCTTTTAATATATATATTTATTGTACTTTATTTTTTAGATGTCGATTATACGAAACATGCAAAAAAAAGTTCATGGATGATACTATTTTTGCCAAGTCGACAATTGACTTTGTACGTATACTTTAAAATAAGTGACGAGAATCTAAAACCTAATATTTTTTATTTTTTGTAGAAACAAAATTTGGATGCTGTTGTGAATGACAATCCACACCCACATCCACCCACCCCCCAAGATGGCCGTTATGGTCGACCTGGGTATTGCATTACCTAGAACATAAATTCGGCGGCTACAAAAGAACAACGTTAATTTGATTGCTTAATTTAGTTTTAATTTTTAGAATGTGTTTGACCCCATGATCAAAATTATTGTTAAAGGTCAAATGTGAAGGAAAAACGCTTATCAAATGACATTTTCATTTAACCAAAGGCAGAGAAGGGCATATGTCCGTCACGACAGTGTATATGTATTTCACGTTGCGTATAGCTCATTCTCAGTCAATGTTTTTTTCTTTCTGTCCTTCAACGTATTATTCAATGATGTGTCGCACAATTTCGAATGAAGAAATATTTTGTGTAAGGTTATTTACTGTCTGGTGGTTGTGTTTATTTTTTATTAATCTCACTAATAATGAAACGTGATTTCGAGGTATGAATATTAGTTAGATTTTAATATTTTATTCAGAAATAATGGTAACGCATAATTAATGTTATTTGTCTCTGAGTTATGCAAAGAGATTTTTCATTTATTTTGAAATATGTTCATTGTAAAAAAGACTTTTGCGCAATAATTTTATTGTTACTTGATCGAAATATCGAATCTATCCAATATGAAATCAGTAAGGGACAGCTGAAGTATTAGTATATGTCAAGGAATTTCGAATGAATTTTTTTTATAATTAAAAGACGCAACAGAGAGTCTTCAATACTCTTTATAAACTAAACCCCTTGCCGGTTTAAATGAACGGAAATCTTCTATAATATCTCTATAAAAATCTAAAGCGGGATTTCCTGATACGTCCAAAATTTTTTCATGATCTGTAATTTAAAAGATCTTGAGAAATCTTCCAAGCTTTTAGTACTTTCAGGGTAGATTTTTCGGTTTTGAATAGTCTAGCTGTAGTGTTTACGTCGGTTTCTATAAATTTTCGGCTCAAAATCTCGAAAATGAAGTTTGTCGGAGCCTGACACCACTAGTTAAAGATCTAACTTATTAAAATTTCAATTAATTGAAAAGGGGGTCTTTTAATCTGTTTTTCAAAACTTGCGAAAAACGCCTTGTAATATGGGGTCTTCTATTTTGAGGGACTCTTTTGAATTGGGAAGAAGGTTATGCTATATTTGAATATAATTAAAAACAAATATCATTATCTTTTTTTTTTCAGAGACAAAACCTCGACGAGGTTGTATACGGTACACCACTACCACCAGTTGCTTCTGTTGCTCCAGGTGCTCCAGTGTTTCCAGTTACTCTAGATCCACTGATTGTGAAATGATACACATTTTTAAAATGATAACAAAGTTTTTAACAAATTTCATTCTCATAATTCACTAACAAATAAAATTTTCTATCTAAACGTTTCACAAAATTTAGTTAGATTCTAATAGAAAAGTGTTAGAAATAACAATGCATGAAAGTAATTACTTTCATATTCTATAAGTTTATTCATTTGAAAGAGTTAAAAGCATATTGTCAGTTTTTTAAATCAGATGTTATAAAATTAAAGTGTGTGGAAAAAAGTAACGTACAAAATAAAATATTAATTTAATAAACCAATTAATATCTTCACTATTATTATTAAATAAATGATTTAAATGAAAAAATTTTAAAAATGTATAATAACATCTTAATGGAAACATTGAAAATTGAGCTAAATTATGATTTTTAACATTTGCAAAACAACTTGATAAAATATTATTAATTAATAGTGTACCTTTGATTGTTAATGGTGCATAATAAGCTTGTTTTATTTCAAGTGTTTTATATATAACTGGTGAATATTTTATTGTTTTATTATTTAATAAAATAAATAATAAATCTCCTTTTTCAATTTCTTTTGCAGGAATATATTTTTCATTATTATTAAAATGAGATTTTATTGGAATTAAATGGTTTTCTGTTAAACTTATTTCATGACCTGATTTTGTTCGAAACGTATAAAATAAAGCTAAATTATTTTTTTAAATTAATATATGAAATGTTTAAAAAGAATATTATACCTTTTTTTAATTTTGATTTATGTAACATCATTACCATTTCAGTGGATTTAATAAAAGATTTTTCAATTGTTAACAGTTTATCACCGGGTTTTATTAAACTAATATGTTTATATTCTTCATTTGTTAATTGAACTATTGAATCATTAGAAAAACATCGGATTTCAATATTTGTTGAATATGCATATGCACCTTTAAATAAACAAATTTTAAAAAGGAAAATAAAAAATTTGTTTAAATATAAAATAACCTCGTTTAGATATTTCATTTTGTCTTGTATTTGGTGCTGTTGAAATATCAATCATCAACAAATATTCAATAAGAATTATATATAAAATATATTTTAACAATTTCATTGATTTGATTTTCGATACATTTTTAATTGATAAAAAATTTATTGAAAAATAACTTCATCTATTGAATACGTTCAATTCGTTATAAAACATTTCATTGTTTGTCAATCATTGAAATTTCAAAGTAAATAGTAATCAAATTCTATTTGAATTCATTCTTTTCTTTTATTTATATCAAGGTTAACAAATAAAGATCATATCATCTTATTATTTTAAATAAAATACTCATTTTCTATTCAAGATAAAAAAGTCATTACTTTATACTAACACTATTTTATTAATACATTGTAATGAAAAAAATGTCTAATATTACTGAACTAAATGATAGTTTTATTAAAATAGAATTTGATAAATTTATTTTCTAGATAAAAAAATCATGTTTAACAAATAAATAAAATTGTTAATATGTTCATATATAAAATTTTAGATATTGGCTCTTTCTCTTCGTAATCGTTCACGTTCCATAACACTATCAGTTATTAAATCCATATCTTTAAGTGCAACAAATTTTGTTTTGTGAACATATTTATAAATAAAAAACATAAGAACTAAAACAGGCAATATAACATATCCTGAGAGAAAATTTGATAAATTAAATTCAGTTTTTGTACATGTGGAATTTCTATCATTAAATATAATATTATTAAATTGAAATTTATTGATTTGTAAATAATTATCACTATCTATATGTGTACAATTAACATCTACTGTTTTAAATGATGAATAACCTTGTCCAAAAACACAAATAAGAATAAGTGCTGATGCTAAAAATGGTCCAACTGGAAAAAATAAAGCTTTATAAACAAGATCATTCAATGAATAACCCTGTAAAATATATGCCCGACGAAATCTCCAGTGTGCTATAGCAATACCAAACCAAGCAATAAAACCCATAACACTTGTCATATTAACAAGCCATATATAAACAGTACTATTTCCAACAAATGATAAACCAAATAATGAACTTGCAAGAACAGTTGTTAATATAAGACAATATATTGGAATTCCACCTTTTGTTATACGACGAAATATTCTTGGAGCTTTACCTTCCATAGATAATGTCCAAAAGATTCTTGTACATAAATAAAGACCAGAATTTCCAGCTGATAATATTGTTGTTAAAATAACAGCGTTCATTATATGATTTGCACCAGGTATACCAGATCTACTAAAAACTAATGTAAATGGTGATACAGCAATAGTATTAACACCATCTATTTGTTTTAATTGTGGATCATCATATGGAAGAACTAAACCCATTACAAAAATAGCACCAACAAAAAATATTATTATACGCCATATTGTTCCATTCATTGCACGAGGAACATCTCTCTTTGGATTTTCACTTTCACCAGCAGCTATACCAACAGCTTCTGTTCCCTATTGAAATATAATTATTAAATGAATTTTTTATTGAAATTATAAAATAAATCAAATAAAACTTACTTGAAAAGCAAAACCTGAAATAATTGATGTTGTGATAATACCTGCAACTCCTCCAACAAAAGGTGCTTCACCTTTTCTCCAGTTTTCAAAACCAATGGTTCTTCTTGGTTTTCCCATAGCTCCAGCATCAACTAAAACGCCAATTAATAGAAAAAAAAGTACAGTCACAACTTTAATCATTGCAAACCAATATTCAGCTTCTCCATAACCTTTAACAGTAAATGCATTCAATAAAAACATAATTAACATTCCTAATATTGACCAAATAATACTAGGAAAATCAGGTAACCAATATTGTATAATAAGACCAGCAGCTACTAATTCTCCCGCTATTGTTGTTACCCATGAAAAATAATAATTATATGCTAATGCAAATCCAAATGCTTCATCAACAAAACGACTACCAAATGTATTAAATGAACCACTTATTGGATATTGTGTTGCAAGTTCAGCTAAAATAAATTGATTTTATTTCATCTTTAATAGAATGATAATAAGAAATATTAAGATGGAAATACGTGAGATAATATTAATGAGAAATAAAGAATACAATAATCTATTTTTAACATTTAAAAATCTTTACCTAAACTTGTCATAACAAAATAAACCATAACTGAAATAACTAAATAAGAAACTAAAGCTCCAGCAGGACCAGCTGATACTAATGCTTGTCCAGAAGCTAAAAATAATCCAGTACCAATAGTTCCACCTAATGCAATCATAATCATATGTCGTTCTTTTAAATTTCTATGTAAATCTTTGCTATCTGATGGTATTAACATATTATTATCATCATATTGTTCAGCATAAGCATTATCTTCATTTTCATTTGATTCTTTTTTTCGAAGAAAATTTGGAATTAATTTTGAAATAAAACTTCTCTAAAAATAAAAATAATTTTATTAATAAATTAAAATCTTCTGTTAAAAACAATACATAAGGTGCGTTATCATTCAATTGTATATCATTTATAGATGAATTATCTCCATTGATCATTGATGATGGTATAACACTAATCTAAATTGTAAATTATTTAGTTTTTTTTAATATTAAATCATAGAAATTACTTTTACCGGTATACCATTTCGATCTAAACTATTATTTGAAATACCCGATGATTTCGGATTTGTTCTCATAATTATTATCTAAAAAAAAATCTAATAACAACTGAGATTTTCTTTGAGTTGTATATTTAAATATATATATATATTTTGATGTTGTTGTTGTTATTGTTATTGTTTTAATGAGTAATTGTAAGTTCTTTTTTTTATTCTTATCAACTAGTTAAATAATGTAAAATATACTTTCTTTTATAATTATGTTTACTAACAACATCTAACATGACTTTATATATACAATCTTGTCTTTTTTTTATCTTTCAAAAAAGATAAATTATATGTCTTGTCATATTTGTACTTTGATCATCATTCGAGAAACAAAAAAAATCATATTTATTCTTTACTTATTCAATTCAACTCTAATCAAAGTTCAAAGTTCAAACTCTTTTTCATAAAATATTTATCTAATAAATTCGATAAAATCAAATAAATAATATAAGAATATTAATTGACTTTCAACAAGAATTCTTCAACACATTTTTCCACTTCTACACTTTGTCAATCGACAAATCACAAGAATTTATTTTTAAACATATCAATGATTATTATCGAAATAAAATAATCAAAAGATTGCTTAAATAATGTCCTAACTACATCAGCTTGAAACACCATCAACTTTTCTTAATTTATCTCTAATTAGATTCTGTTTCATTTTAATGAAAAAGTAAAATAAGTTATAAACATTTTCATATTTTTGTTTTTATGAGAAGATTTTTTTTTTCATACAATAATTAATATTAGTTGTCTGAAGTATTTTTATTGAATTTCATATAATTAATAGATATATCAGATTGATTCCATTTGATTTGTTGATAAACATTTATTGTATTGATTTCATCGTGTGTACAACATGGACCTGGTGAATATCCGCTAACATTCAAAGCAATATTAGATTGTTGAGCTGGAACTATCTCTCCTGAATGTAATTGAAATAACCAATGTGTCATTTGTGCATGAATCATTTGTGAACCACTTTTTAATGTTTCCTTATTTTGTGCAATACTATCGAAACGATAAAAACCAAAATTATTTGAATTATTTTTTGTTAAATTTAATAATGGATCAATTTGAGATGAAACATAAATATCTTCACCTAATATAATTGAACCATTTTCTGTTCGAATTACATATTTTATATAATCATCAATTATTGATAAAGAAACATTTATACAATGAATTTGTTTAGTATCAATAGAAATACTTCCTGATTTCCATCCTAAACGATCATTACCATATGAAAACCATTTATTCTTTTCATAATCAAATGTTAAACCAATATCAAGAGAAACTCCATTATAACGATTAAAAATTCCTAAACTAACATAAAATCCATCACTAAATGATGTTAAATTAGAAGGTAAAATAATCGTTGGTAAACAATAGATTAATTGTGTAGATAAAAATGAATATTCACACGATGTATCAACACGATACCAAGCTCCGGTTCCTCCACCATTCCATGCTTGATTACATTTTAATTCAATATTATTTAGATTTAATAAGATTATTATTATTATGAAAAATATTTTCATTTTATTAAATATTTAATATAATATTACACTTTCTATACTTCTCTTTTTATTTCGAAGAACAAAATAAACATCTTATCACAATTTACTTTTTTTTTCATTCTATACACAAATAAAGATAAACAATTTCATGTTTTTTATCAAATATATATTTTTTTTTAAAAAGTATTTCCATCAAAATTTTATTTAGAAAATAATTTTATGAATTAAATATTTTGAAGCGTGTATCCTCTAATGAAATGTGAAGTGTGTAGATGATCCTGACTCCCACAGTCGATCCCATTTACTGAAAATCAGTTGGTTTATATAGATGACAAGCGAAGAGAGAATGATCGTATGTATGAAGAAAGAAAAAGAGAACGCAAGGAAAAATCCCTTATATATATATGACAGGAGAGGAAAAGTCTATCACATATATCATAAGGGAAAACATCAAGAATGACAAAAGAGAGAAGGGAAACACGTCACTATCTAACAAATATTATCTTTCATTTAATAAAAGCACAAAAATAATCTAATGAGAAAGAATGTGAGCGTTAACATTGAGTCATGATTTATTCATTATATATGAATAATATGATATGGTTGAGAGATTTTTGTTAATAAACAAAGAAAAAGAAAATATTTCTTATTGAAGAATGGTTGATAATGATACACAAATAGTTGAATCAAATTCATCATCATCAATTGGAAAATTAAGTTCAATTATATTAGATGATTATACATTATATAAATGTGAAATAAATAATGATTTAATTAATAATTATCTTCAAGATAAACTTTTACCATTTGAAAATGTATCATGGAAAAATTCAATTAAAAATAATGTTTTCCATTCGAAACCAATTAAACATCATTGTGATTCACGATTAAATAATAATAATTTAAAAGAATTATCTAATTCGATAACATTTGAAGAACTTTTATTAAATTTATTAAAAAATGAGAATAAGAAGAATTCGCGATATAATTTTGTAATAACTGGTAATTATTTATCATTTATGGAAATTCCACATCGTCATGAAATATCATATTATTTACTTTCAAAACATATATCACTATCAGATCGTTCAAATGATGTTAGATTTGCTGGAGAATTTTGGTGTGATGAAAAGAATTTATTTAAATTAAATAATAATTCAGGTACTTATACACCATCAAATGATTTAATTCAACAAACTATTCAACTTTTTAATCAATTAACTCCACAATTGCATTTTCAAGGTCTTCCTTATCAAATAAGTCTTCGACCTTCGATCAAATCTCGTTTTATTACTAAAACCAAAGCAAAATTATCAATTACATCAACTTCTTAAATATTTTTATCCTGTAAATACAATTTGATTTTGGAATAAAAATATTCATTTTTAAATATTATTTGATTTTTCAAATAAAATATTTATTTTCTAGACTGTAAATAGGATTTAGAGACGGGACTTTTGATCTATTTCCATATATTATTTTTGTCAAAGATCTGTTGAAAGTCGATGTGAGTATTCTATTCATTTCTTATGGTCACATTCTAATATGAAATATTGATAGAATCCATTATAGGAGAAGAAAAAATGAAAGAATGATACAAATTCTTATTAAAAACAGTTCATTTTATTTTATTTCTTATTTGAAGAATTTTAAAAAAGAAGAAATCAAAAATTAAATTAATGTAGGTTTTTTTTTTTTAATTTGAGGAATAACTTCAGATGATTGAGCAGAATTTAATCGTGTAGAAAAATAAGGTCGTTCTTCAGTTGGACATTCAAGTTCTTCACCAGTATGCCATTCCCATCTTTTACGTCCAACTTGTTCAATCATATTATTCCATAATGAAAGTGATGCACGAGAATGTCCTTTACCTAAAAAGAAAATTAGATTTATTTCTAAATAAATATTTTTTTTTGTTAAACAAACCGCTAAAATGAAAACAATCTGGAGCAAAAAAACTATAATCAATTTCTCCATCAACTACTGGAACTTGTGTATGAGCCATAAATGGTTGAATAACAACAGTAAAATCATCACCTGTATCATATTTTCCAGTATTAATTAAATCAACAAGATTTTTATGATATAAAGGTATCCATTCTTGTAATGTTCTTCTATCATCTGGACTTGGATAAGCTGCACATGGACATGTTTTATTATGCATTAAACGACAAACAGTTCCTCCAGCATTTAATTTTTCAACTGAACGTACATCAAGAACAAGAACAAGATTAACAAATGTTCGAGGAAAATTTGCATGAAGAAAATCTAATGTTTCTTCAATATATTTTGTAAAATTTACTGGATTATGTTTATTTAAATCTTCACAAAATATACATAAATCATTTCCCTTAATGAAATAAATAAATAAATAAATAAAAATATATTTTAAAGAAAATTCTAATCTTACTCCAACAAAAAATGTAATCATTTTCCAATCATCTTTCATATTACAAATATCATTTGAATTTAATCTTTCATAAAGAATATGTGCTTGATCAATCATATGATAAGATCGATCACCAGATTTAGCTTTTTAGAAAAACAAAAAACAAATATTTTTAGAATTTATTTAAAGAAAAACTAATGAGAGTTACCACAATTAAGACCATTATGTGAAGAATTTTGACCTTTACCAAAAATCAATGAACTTTTTGTTGAATAACCTTTTAATTGAGAATTATATTCACGAAGAATATTTGGTAATGTCATAAGTTTATTATATGAATAATCTCCTCCAGCAGACCATGATACACCTTAGAAGAACAAAAATATTTTTATAAATAAATAAATAATAAAAATATTTCACCTCGATTTTCTGTAAATAATCCAATTGGTGTTAAAGCATGTGCACCTAATGCAGCTGTTAAACTATCACCTATTGCTCCAACACATTGAATATCATTTGGAAGAAGACTATGAACTGTTATTGAATCATTTACTTTTCGTTGTAAATTTTTATTACATGGAAAATTTTTTGGTTTTGGTCCATAAATATAATCTTTTGTTGTAAATAATTTCAATGACCATAAACTATATTCTTCAACAAATTCTTCATTTTTAATTAAATCTTCTAATGCATCAATATATTCATCAGATTTTAATGAACTTGTTTTTAGAACTATTAAAGAGACAAAGAGTAAACTTACGAGGGAATATTTCATTTTTTTTTCAAAATAAAATCAGTAGAAAAAGAAAACTAACGTTTTTAATCAGAATTTGTATTTTCAAGATAAAATATCAGTTGGTTATTATTCACATAAATATCAATTCATTTCTATAAGATAATATTGAAAAGATAACGCCTACATTTTATCGTATATTTACAGTATTTTTCAGTAAAGAATACATCGAATCTTTATTATTAGATTATTTTTAAAAGTGCAAAAATCGAATCAATTAAATTATTTATTTAAATTTGATATAGAGAAATTTTTTAAAAAAGTGCATACACTGAAATCTCCCTAATGTGAATACCATTGGGACCGGAGAAAAGTGTTCACTATAGAGAGATAAGATATGGCATAGCCTGAAATGGAAGAAATCTTAGAATATTTGCTTATGCCTTTATAGTAGACAAACATCCGAGTATCTATTCTGTTGTTCATTTATTATTAGTTAATCGATTTTAATAACAAAAAATTACAAACTATAATACAAAAACAAGAGTAGCTGCCTAATTCGAGTTCGAATATAAACGGACATTAAAAAAAGGAAAAACAAATACCTATTTCTAGGAATAGATTTCATTTTAGAATAATTTTTAGATAAATTCCCCTAATCCACCCCTTGGTTATATATATGAATCACTTACATCTTAGAGTAAAACTAAAGCTGAATCTATTCCTAAATTTTACCATTTATTTGCGCATTAGTAGTGTACAGTTGGATCTCCATTTATATTCGAATTCGAATTCAAATTAGGTAGCTCATCAAAACATGTGACAGAAAGTAGAAAGAGGTTAAAAAAACATCATATATATGTTCACATTAGAGAGATGATAATACCAGACGGGACTGAAAAAAAGCGTTCACTGTTCAGAATAAAGAGATGTTCATATTGGAGAGATGCATTTCCAGCAAAAATCGCTTCATCAGATCTGAGACCGTTCATAGAACGATGGAGTTCACTATCGAGAGGTGTTCACTATGAGAGGTTTCACTATATATATATATATATATGTATATATTGTATGACATAATGTATAAGCATACATTGTTTGAATAGAGGATAAATCATTGAAGCGTAATATCATATGACTATAATGATAAAAGACAAAAGTATATATTTAAAAATGAATTGATCGATAATACAACGAAATAAAAGAGAAAAAAAACGTGTAACTGGTTATGGATGAAACAAAAGTAACTAATAAAGGTAATCGAATTTTACGTGTAGCTGGTGTACCCGAACATTTTAATGAACCATGGAAAATTGGTTTTGAAGAAAATTATTTTGTTAAACAAGGTATTGAAATTGAATGGCATTCAATAAAAGAAGGGACAGGTGCTATGATTAATAAATTAAAATCTAATGAAGTTGATGTTATTGTTGCATTAACTGAAGGTTTAATAAATGATATTGCTGGTAATGATTCGGATATTCGTCTTCTTGGTACATATGTTGAATCACCATTAATTTGGTCTGTTAGTACTGGTATAAATTCAAATTATAATTCAATTGAAGATTTAAAAGGTGAAAAATTTGGTATAAGTCGATATCAAAGTGGATCACATTTAATGAGTTGTGTTCTTGCTAGTCAATATGGATGGAAACAATCAGATATTGAATTTATTATTAATAATAATTTTGATACATTAAGAAAATCAGTTAATGATCAAACAACAGCTGCATTTATGTGGGAATATTTTATGTCAAAACCATTTTATGATAAAGGTGAAATTCGTCGAATTGGAGAAATCATAACACCATGGCCTTGTTTTATGATTGCTTCAACAACAAATATTGTTTCAGAACGTTTAAATGATCTTGAAAATATGTTTATTGCTTTACAAAAATCTTGTTTTCATTTTAAAACAAATTCAACAAATTCAATTGAAAGAATTTCAAAAAATTTTCATTTATCTATTGAAGATGCAAAATCTTGGTTTGATAAAGTAAATATAACAGCAACAAATTCTATAGCTGAATCAACAATTGAAACAACAATTGATGCACTTAAAACTGCATTAACATTAAATGAAAATTATAAAACAAAAGAAGCAATTAAATTTATTGATACACGAATTGCTAAATTATCAGTTGATATTAAATCAATGCGTCTTTATAATAAACCGGAATTATTAATTGCATTAAGAAATAATTTACGTGTTAATGGTCTTTCAAAAGGATCAATAACATATAAAGATTTACTTCCATTTGATCAAAATCATTATTATGGTACACAAGTTTTAGATTTAGCTGTTGATGAATTAAATTTATCTAATGATGATTTAAATAAAACTAATTCAACATGGATTATACAAATTGGATCCAATTTAGCTGGTTGTGCACGATATTTATCTGGAAAATATCATTTAAAAGTTTTAGCAATTGAATTACAAAATGATTTATCTCAAGCAGCAAGTGAATTAACAGATCGTTGTGGTTTAGCAAATAATATTTATCATATAGCTGGAGATTTTTTAAATGTTGCTCAACATTTACAACAAAATTATTATAAAGCTATTGTTAGTTGGATAACTATTTTACATTTTCAAGAATTGGATAGAATTCGTTTAATGAAACAATCATTTAATTTACTTGAAGATAATGGATATTTTTATTGTGAAGATTTTATTCGAATTGGAAATCTTACAAATGAAGAATCACAAATATTAGAACATGATGTTTTTTGTAGATATTTACCAACTTTAGATGAATATAAACAACATCTTATTCAAGCACAATTTCAAATTATCAAAACTGTTGATTTAACTCAACAATGGAAAGATTTTACTAAACAACGTTTTCAACAATATCAAGAAAATAAACAAAATTTATTAAATATTCATGGAGAAGATATTTATAACCGTTTACAATATTTTTATTCATCAATTGTTAAACTTTTTATGGGAAATCATGTTGGAGGTATTAGAATTATTGCCAAGAAAATATCAAATTAATTCTATTATTTATTCGAATTAATTAGAAAAACAATTCTTTTTTTTTTCAAATTAATCTTTTCTTTTAACAATTTAATAAATTACATTTTTATGATCTCCTCACAAGTTGAAATTGATTCAAATTTTCAGTTGTATAATATAATATCGGAAAGAGATATTCATTAAAAATTGATTGAAACTAAATCTATTAAATGAAATTTCTAAAAAGAATTCTTTTAAGAAAATAATTCGTGAGAAAGAAAAAGAATTAGATGCCTCCACGCAGGATCGAACTACGGACCTCCAGTTTACAAGACTGGCGCTCTACCACTGAGCTATAGAGGCACATTGACCTTAAAAATTTTAATAAGATTTTTATTGAAATTAATTTCTTACAAGATAACGGTTTTTCTTACAATTCTCTTCTCGTATTCGAACTCTTCAGAGAAAAGTTAATATATGAAAGATGCATCAAAGATCTTATTGAAGTCGATCAAAATTGATCTTCCTTTCAACGCTCTACATAAGAAAAAGTGTATTAGAACATTTCTCGTGTTGTTCTCATTGAGAATTCTAATAATAATGAAACAGCTTGTTCTTTTTTATGACTAAGTTAGCTACGCATCATATATTATAATATAAATGAATTTTTAATAAGAGATTCTATTGTAAAGAATAATCAGCTGTATCCAAAAATCTTTCTCATACTTAGTTTTTAAATAAATATTTTTTTCTTGCGATAGATAGATAATCAATAGAAATAGATGATGTAAATTTATTCATTTGAATAAATAGATTAAATGACATGTTTAATAAAAAAAAAAAAGAAATGTTTTTGAAAAGATGAGCTTGATTATATATAATTGAATACAAAAAAAAAAGTGATAGAAATGATTAGTTGATTGAATATTTAGCTATTGACATGTTTTGCTTTGCATTCTTCAGCTTTAACATGATGTTCACAAGCTTTAGCTGCTGCCTTATTTGCTTCGAATTGTGCATCCATTCGTTCACTTGGTTTAACATTTGGATCATTTGCTTTTTCGAGTTTTTCATCAGCTTTTTTTGTATCAACAGCTTCTTTTACTTTTTCAATTCCAGCTTTAATTGCGTCCATTTTTTTGTTCTAAAATTAAATTAATAATTTTTTATTTTTTCTATCTTAAATATTTTATAACTTACTGTTAGTGTACTGAGTTAACTTCGTGTGTATGTGTGCGATGGAAGAAATAAAATGAGAAGAGAGACAAATCTATTCTCTCGTTTCTTCGCCTTTTCATTATTCTATTCATCGGAGCAAGAGAAAGAAGAAAGAAAAAAAAACTGTAAAATTGGTGCTAGTCAAAGAAAAAGAACAGATGTGTCCGAATATTTTATCATGTTTCTGAGCTAGATATACGAGAAACAAGTAGAAAGAGAAACACACTTCATCGTCTTCAACTCTTTTTCTTTTCTCTCCTATTTAAAACAGACAAGGAAAATAAAGATGAACTCTCTCTCTCTCACTATTTCACCATGTACTCTTGACCTTTCACCGATACTTTTAACAAGCAGAAAAAATGGAATCGGCTTTTTTTTTGTACAGAATAATAAATAATTTATTTTTCCTGAATTAAACAAGTATCTGTGACATATATAATAATTCACTTCATCAAAAATCAGTTAAATTGTATTCTACTATCTTGATTCTATATTGTAATATTAATGCAATCGAGAACGATGGCATAGAAAAAGGCAAACCGATCCATTTGTGTTTTATATGACTAACCACAATGAATCACATATATCAATGGAGATAACAAAGTGAAACTAATATTTTCATGAAATTTTGAAGATTAAAAGTTATCAACAAGATAATTTATTTTTGTCATCAGAGTGGATTTAATGCTATATATAAATCATTTTGTCGAATATTTACTTTAGTGAGATAAAGTTTCGATGCACTATAAAATACTATTAGCATATCTATTATATTGGGTATGTTTTTATTTAACTTTCAATAGATATTTAAGAGTAGGTGTAGGATAAGTGTGATTAAGATATACAATACAACAACCATGTCCACTTTTACTCTCAAGAATTGTATGTCTACTCTGATTCTAGTCTATAGGGGATGGATGAAGTATGTGCGATAGATAAATAGAATATGCAAACATCTAGTTAAACTTATAGCTACAGTTTGACCTCAGTTTAAAAAAAAGAAAATAACATGATTACATTACTCATGTTAGAAGAATGAAACATAGGCAAAGATAATACATTTGATAAAGTTAGAAAGAAGTTTTGTCTTCCTAGTTATTTATCAACAATATCTTGGTTTTCTCCTTATTTCAATGTTTATCAAAAGAAGACGGTTTCTTGGCGGTAGACTTTCACTATGTGATAAAAATAATTCAATAATGAAAATATTCTTATTAGTTATTTAGTTAGTATATACAAAGCAGATAAACAAATAAATTCAAATATTTTTTTCAATTTTAACAAAACACAAAGAACAAGAATTTGTTCGTATTTATTTTATTATTGTCATTAATCAAGTTTATCAAACTATTTGACTACTATTATCGGTATGTATAATGATTATAGTACTTTTGCTGATATTCTTCTATTTGTTAGAGAATATTTTTCTTCCAATACTGTATCATATCTTTCTTTATACTGTGTTAGATCTACATTTTTCTCGATATACTAGCTATGTAAAAAATCCAAATTCCATTCGTGTCCAATCATTTTATTATCTAATTCTGTACTAGAATAACTGATTATTTAAAATCCTTTTAACCAAGAAATACTAGATAAGCTCTAGCAACACGTGGAATGGAATTTTAATATATCCATCAACACATATTCACTTCTCTTTACGATAACAGAAACTAGAAATAATGTGCAGAGACTACGATGAATAATACGGGAAGACTATCTATGATATGAGATCTATTATGCAAGAAATAAACGTAATTGAGTGAACAACTTCTTTAATAAATTCAAATTTGTTAAAATAATAGTTCGTTTTATTCAACACAAATTTTGTATTTTAAGAAAAAACTTCGTGTGTAACTTTATGGCTGAATATAATTTATCATCAACACTATTAAATGAAATACAAAATCACGATGATCTTGAAGTTGTTTGGCTTTATTCAGGTGATTATATTTCCAATAAAGTTGAAAATTTTGGGGAATACTTCAAGACATTTAAATCAGCTGAAGAATGTGAAAATTATATTGAAAAGATTGAAAGTGAACGTAAAATATTGCTTGTTTTAATCGATTCATCTATATATGTATCTTATTTTAATGATTTTCCACAAATCCAATCGATTTATGTTTTGGAAAGAAATATGAAATATGAAAAAGAAGATTTTTCTAAAGTAATTGATATATTTCCTGATGAACATATATTAATCAAACAAATACGTCAAGATATTCTATTAACATTTCGAAATAATTTTCCTAATTCTATATCTTGTGTAAAAGATATGACAGTTGAACAATCATTTACAAATTTATATGTAACTGAGTTGAATTTTTTATGGAATTTTACATTAATTAATTATCTAATTAATTATCCTCAGGCAGATATGGATCGATTAAAAACAGATATGATAAATCAATGTCAATTAGAATATGAAAATAGTTCAATTCAAATATCACATATTAATGATTTTGCTAAGAATTGTACGGATAAGAATGTGTTAAATTGGTATACAAAAAATGTATTTGCCTATCGAGTTGTAAATAGAGCATTTCGATCACGAAATATCGATTTAATTTATAAATATCAATATTTCATTATACTCTTATATAAGAAATTAAAAGAACTTTCATTAGAGCAACAACAAAGAAATTATAAAAAAGTTTATCGAGGACAACTTATAATGGAAAATGAGCTAAACATTATTAAATCAAATGTTGGACATTTCATATCAATAAATACAATTATGTCAACAACTCGTAATGAACAAGTTGCTCGTCAATTTATACTTGATGCAAAACTTGGTGTAATTATCGAAATTGATATTACTAATGCTAGCAATGATACATTATATCCATTTGCTGATATTTCTAAACATAGTTCAATGGAAGATGAAGAAGAAACATTGTTTTTTTCTGGTGCAATTTTTCATATTGATTCTGTTAAACAAGAAAATGATTCAGTATGGATTATTAAATTGACTTTAAAAAGTGAAATGATTGAAAATGGAAAAAGAATAATGGATTATTTTACAGAACAATACATTCCTCAAATAGATAAGGATTATTTCTATATGTAAACAAATGATATAAGTCTTTACACGAAATATTATTATATATTAACAAATAAATCATTATCATGGGAGGATGCTCTAACAAATAGCATAGATTTTAATGCTTTTCATCTCATTATTATTTCAAATGATTATGAAAAAAAATTGAATTTTACGAGAAATTAATATTAGATGGCGAGTCTATTGATATTGAAAAATTTCTTGTTCTTTATATACTTATTGGTAATAATTATTACCATTTATTCAATTATGATAAAGCTTTAGATTACTATAATACTGTAATTGAATTATTAAATGATTCAAATAAATTAATAGGTTCAAATAGATTAATAGGTGATATTTACAGCCATATTGGTGATATTGAGGCATCAAAATATAATTTTGACGACGCATTAAACTGTTATAACAAAACAATACAAATTTTATCCGGTCATAATGCTAACCAGCGTCATATTACTGTAATCTACAGAAAAATATCTTATATATATAAACAATAAAATAATTATAAATATGCTAATTTATACGAAGAACAAGCAAATGAATTCGATCAAGGTTTTCCACAATTATCGCATTTATATAATGAAAGATTTGTGAATTATGCTCGAAATCGAGCAGATATTCATTTGAACCTTTCACCACCTCAGCAAGCAGATAGATTATATTCAATAGGTGTATATCTAATTAAGACAAATGATTATAATCAAGCATTAGAAAAACTTTTACAGGCAAAGGAATTATTCGAAAAACATTTATCATTAAATGATTTTCCTGAGAAATTTGGTAAACTCTATAAAAAAAATTGCTTTAGTTTATTTACAATTAAAGAATTATTTTCAAGCATTGGTTATGTGGAAGAAAGCTATTGACATACGGACAAGTTTTTTACAAAATTAGTTATATTAATATATATCTCCTTCCAGTAACGTCAACCTTTTATACAAAAAATCTGTATAATTTTTATATGATTTTTTAATCGATATTTTTCTTCGTCTTTCTAATAAATAATCGAGATGAAATTTTATAATAATGCTAAAACATTTCATTTTGTTTATACTGAAAGAATACTTCTATTGTAATTGTTCAAATATGGTATTTCATAAAAAATAATTCATGGACATATAAAGCGAAAGTTTATTTTAATTGTCATTTGACACTGATAATGACAATTTATAAATGTTAGTTATCAGCGTGTCCAAGCGTGACGGAATCACGTTTTTTCTCCATGCGCTTTCTATAACTCGATCATACGGAAACCAATAAGTCTGAGTCTCCATACAGTCTATGTGAGCTTAATTCCTCTTCAAAAGTATGGGACTTTTTCTTAGGTTTACCAAAGTTGTTTGTGTTTTGCGATCTAAAATATACCCCGTTGCGGAATCACACAAAACGGAACGTCATGTTTAACGGATTGCACAAAAGTGTAAAATTCAATTTAACGGCAGGGATGAAAAAAACACGATTTGTAGCAGATTGATAGACTAGATGATACAGTATCTAAAAAAAGAAATCTTGAAAAAATATTCAAAGCTGCCTTTGCGCCGCAGAAATATGTGTCGTGATGGAATCACGTTTTCGCATGTCTATTTCTCCACTAAACAATCACTTCAGACTAGCTCCCGGGTCAACCAATCCAACGTTGGATCCGATCGGATCTTATAGGATCCGATCATCCGATAGAATCCGATAGGATTCCTGGTGACGGATTTGCATTGGATTCCGTCGGAAAATTTTCAGTCACTTGCTGCAAATTTGATGAGCGGCGTTTTTAGCTATTTTCTATGATGGTCTTATGGTCACCTATCGGATCCGTCTAGATCCGTTTGTTAGAAATTGTGAGATCCGATGGGATCCGACCACAACGGAATCCGAAGTGATTCCGTCACCAGGAATCCTATAGGATTTTGTCGGATCGTCGGATTCCGATAGGATCCGAATACGGGATTGGTGGACCTGGGTAAATCAGGTTATTATTTTCAAATAACACTAATATCCAATATAATTAATTTTTTTTAAATAATTTTAGATATTATATCGTTTCCATGAAATCTCCGGAACAGTGTTTCTAATAGCAAGTGTACCAAGCGTAATCGAAATGTAC